TCCAAGTAATAGGTTACAAATGGCATCAATGTCTCCACTGGATGCTATGAACTCTAGGGATCACTAGTGGCTCACATCAATTTAGAAATAAATTCACAACAAAAGATCATAATGCTATCATTCACCCTTATCCAGCCATTCACCAATCTGGTATCTTATTGAGCCCTGTCCACCAGTCATTCAGCTAGGGGCTGAAAATCTGTTGACACAAAACAGAGCACTAGTTTCCCAGCCAGCTAATCAACATGATTAAATGAGTGCAATGCATAAAAGCAACTAAAACAAGAAAAGCTCTATGGAGGTATAATTTATTTATCATAAAATTTACCCATTTTATGTGGACAAAGTAAAGATTTTCAGTAAATTTACTGCTTTGCAACCACCACCACAATCCAATTTTAGAACATGTTCATTAGCAGCAACTGTTATAACTCAAATTTTAACAAAACTAGCCAAGAGTAAACCCATCTTTAAAAAATCCTACTTTCCTCCAAATGGACTATGGCTCAGGATTATTGGAGTTTTGGTAGTGGGGGTAGCATGGTAACATTTGCAGAGATGTAAACCTATATACCTAAAACATTCACGTGTTGTAAATCAACATTATCTCAATAAACATAATTTAAAAAATCCTATGTCCCATAATGGTCTCTAAGCCCCACCAATTTTCAAGCACAGAGCAGAGTGTGACCTGAGTTCTGTAAGCTGTGCTTGCTGCTATGCGACTAACTGGGATCCTGCCAGGGTCTCTGAGAGGCAGAACTGCAGTCTCTCTGCAATTGTGGACTCTTCCCACAAGGGTCAGAAACAACCCACCAGGGCCTCCCTGGTGGGGTAAAGGGGTTAAGTCTCAGCACTATGAAGCTATCCACAGCCACAGCAGCACAAGTTTGATCCTCAGCCAGGGGATCCCTACCGACTTGGCACAGTAGACCTCTCCTGTCTCACCCACTGCTCCCCTCAGCAGTGTATTTCAGCAGATCTGCCTGTTCTGCTCCCCACTCTGTCTCCAGTGAAACCTCTCACCGCCCCCACCTCCATGCCTCTGGCCAACATCCCAGCTCTTGTGTGCATAAATAAATTAAAAAAAAAAAAAAAAGAAGAACAACCCACTAAAGCAACTGTTCTTAACCTTAGTACAACACTGGAATGACAAGAGCTTAAAAACATAGTGATACCTAGTCACCCTCACCCTTCCACCTGGATTTTATTTAATTGGTCTGGGTTCAGCCTGGGCATGAGGATTTTTTTAAAGAACACTGCAATATGCAGCCAAGATTAGAAACAGCTTAACTAAAAGATTCAGGATTCCACCTAATATTTATTTTGGTATTTGAAGGTAGCAGATGTGATATTTTGTTCCTCAAATACACTCATTTTCACATCATGGTCTGTAATAATGAAAAATAACACTAGCGAGAGAATAACAATTGCCAGGAAGCTTAAACATATGCAGATAGTCTTCCTTTTCCCACTGAGGCAGCTCAGATCTACTCACTCTTCTGCAATTTCCTCTTCATTTTCAGGAAAGGGCAGTGTCATTCCTCAAGATGTGTCACCCCACCACACAACACACTTTGCTCCTGTTCTTTCACAACATTCAAAATTCAGAATATCCCTATGGCAGAAACTCTTCTTTCTGTTTTACAAGGGCTCCCGCCAGTCAAGTTCTATGCGCATATAACAAGAGCATCTTGTTAAAATGCACATTCCAATTCTCTACATCTGGAAGGAGACTGGAGATTCTGAATTTCTGCTTACTTTCTGGGGGATGCCCAAGGTCCTAGTTCAATGGGCCAAACTTTGATTAGCAAGGTCCTAGCGACTCTCTAGCTTTTCACTTGATGTTAATCAAATGTAATACAGACTAAATAAAAGAAAGTGTTGTTTATAGAAAGTGTTGTTAATGCGGTGCTGAGAAAGAACAGGCCTAGGTTTCTGAAATCACCTTTATTTCCTGGGTCTCAGTTTCCATTGCTAAATGGAAAATAAAAGTTGTTCCTCACTCCTGACGACCTTTCCAATGCAAAAATTATTATTTTTTAAACATTTATTTATTTATCCACATAAGAACTGGGGTACAGGCCAGAGGTGTGAATGGTGAGAGGATTCACCAGAGACAGAGTGGGAACAGAACAGGCAGACTGATTGAAAAATACTATTGAGGGGAGCAGCGAGCGTGACAGGAGAGGTCTGCTGCACCATGTGGGTAGCTCCCTGGCTGGGGATCGAACTTGTGCTGCAGTGGCTGTGGACAGCTTCATAGGTTGCGTCTTTGCCCCTTGCCCCACCAGGAAGGCCCAAATTATTATTTTTTAAAAAGATTTATTTACTTATACATACAAGAACTGGGGTACAGGACAGAAGTGCAGGGATGTCGGGGGTGAGAGGATTCACCAGAGACAGTGTGGGGAGCAGAGCAGGCAGACTGATTGAAATACACTGCTGAGGGAAACAGCAGGCAAGCAGGAGAGGTCTGCTGAGCCATGTGGGTAACTCCTTGGCCAGCCAGGAGTTTGGGGATCAAACTCGTGCCGCGGAGGCTGCGGATAACTTCAAAGTGCTGTGCTTAACCCCCTGTGCCACGAGGGAGGCCCCAACACAAAAAATTATTTCCCCTCAAGTCTTAAAGCTGTGTAATAATGGTACTATCACTACTTTATATTGAACACTGTGATACTTCACAGTCTAAAGGTGTGATTTAAGTAGCATTTGGGCTCTTTGAAATTTCAAAGTCACAGTTTTCATGAGGGGGCATTTGACTTGATATATGCATTTAATACTTGAAGTATACTTATGAGATAAGAGAGTTCGATTACACTCAGATTTTCAGTTTAGAAGGATTTCCTTGACATTCCTCTGGCTGCATAGCAGCTGCTGTGTTTGTTTGTTTGTTTGTTTAATTAAAAAAAACAGAACCTAATTTGTTTTGTATATAAACATACATGGCACTAATTACTGGATGATAATAAATCTGATAGGGCTGTTCTCAGAGATCTTGATGACATTCAAAACTTGCTGATTTGGATATGGTATCTAGAAAATGTCAGTTTCCAGGGCTGTGAGGTGGGGTAGGTGTACTTTTGACCTTGCAAGGTCATATCTAAACCTTTCTTCTTCATTTCTACAAACACCCTCCTCCCTTGAAGCTTATGGCACCCTATAACACCCTCTCTCCGTTCTTCACTGCTGTCCTCGAGTAGTTTCTTTTGTATTACTGGAGACTTTGGTCCCAAGCACACACAGTCTTCTTTCTACCCTAACAGCTGTCATCCTTCGCTCGACCTCATGACCTCTTGCTTCCTTTACCCCACCCCAGTCACTCACTTCCTGACATCTCTAAACACTATTTCCCAGCTTTCTAATAACCTTAGTCAAATATTTATACTGATAATTCTAGACAGCAGAAGAAATCTGATTAATTTGCCCCACTAATTTCTCACTCTCCATTGATTTCGTTCCCATTTCTCTTTATCCATCAGAGATATCAGAGTGCATATTATTTAAAATGACCTTCAACTCTTGTTAGGGCCTGAATGTTTGTGTCCCCTGTCTCCCCAAATCCATATGTTAAAATCTTAACCCCCAGTGTGTAGTATTAAGAGATGTGGCGTTTGGCAGGTGATTAGGTCATGAAAGCGAAACTCCTATTGTAACAGGGTGGTCCCCAGGAAAGGGGGAAGTTCCAGGTTCCCTGCCCCACCCAAGGGAGGGTGGAGCTGAGCAGGAAGAGAAGAAGCTGCAGAAGAGACTGAGGAAGGAAGGAGGATGGAGCCAGAAAGAGACCTGGAGGAGGCGCATGGAGCCTAGAGACACGTGAAGAAACTGCGCTTGTCTTTTGGTCGTGGACTAGGTGACACAGATGTGGGTGAGACCCGTGGGGAGGTGACAATGGCAGCTTTTATCTTGATGTTGATTTTGCTCTTTTCCTTCCGGGCTTGTCCGGTTATTTGTGACCCTTTTCTGTGGGTCCCCACTGGAAGATGCTTTAGACTTGTGGCAGGCTTTGGGGCCTTGTTCTGGGCCAATCCCATTTGAATGGACTTTTACCCACGAGGGGACGGGTAACTCTGGATGCTTCATTTAGAAACTAGACTAGAAACTAAAAACTAGACTCTTTGCCTTACCTGTATTGTTTCCTAGTTTTATTAAAGTTCCTTCCCATTAAAGTCTCCTATGTTTTGTGTTGATGCAGCGGATGGCAGAACCCATGTAAAATAGACAGGTTTGCGGGGTTTGGGCTGCCCCTCTCCCTGTCCTATAACAGATTTGGCGACCACGAAGATTTAGGACAGCCATCCGTGCGGCGGATGGCAGAACCCATGTAAAATAGGCAGGTTTGTGGGGTTTGGGCTGCCCCTCTCCCTGTCCTATAACACTATGAGTGGGGTAAGTGCCCTTATAAAATGACCTCAGAGAACTCTCTCCCCTCGTGCCATGGTGAGGACACAGGGAAAAGACAGTTTTCTATGAATAGAAGTAGGTCCCAATCAGGTAGCAAATCTTCTAATGCCTTGATCTTAAACTTCACAGCCTCCAGAACTGTGAGAAATAGATGTAGTTTAACAACCCCTCACCCCTACCCCCAGTCTATGGTGTCCTGTTTAGCAGCATAAACAAACTAAGACAATTCTCTTGCTACCTATCACATCCATCTGGCAAAACTTCAGTCCTGCGAGAACATGGTACCCATTTTCACTGATCTGTATCCAAGTTAGTGAAGTTTGCTGAAGAAAAATCAGACAACTAAGCCCATTAGTTTGACCTTAAATTTGTGGCCATCAATTTCATTTATCAAGGTGGCCAGTCTGTCTACTTTTGTCCTGGAGACCAACCTTTTCTCTTATAATCTCCTCAGGATCATCTTAAATTTAACAGGTTCAAACCTGAACTCTTTTTTTACCCAGACCTATTCTTATCTCAGTTGATGGAACCATTACCCTCCAGTTGCTCAACGTCAGGAATCTGGGAGTCATTCTCCAGTCCTTGCGTTCCCTTACCTTTGACATAAAATCCAACACCAATGCTTATTCTTCAAAATATTTCTTAAATCTTTCTCCATTGGCATCAGCCTAATTCAGGTCTGCATCATCTTTCATCCGAACTCTGCACACATTTTCCAACAGGTCTCTCTCCTTTCTCTATTGTTCCTTCCCAAACTATTCTCCACAAGGAACTGAAGGTCATCTTCAAATAGGAATCTGATGATGTCTCTTTTCTCTTTAAAACCAACTGCTTCCCCTGGCAGCATCCATCTGGCAAAACTTCAGTCCTGCGAGAACATGGCTACCCATTTTCACTGATCTGTATCCAAGTTAGTGAAGTTTGCTGAAGAAAAATCAGACAACTAAGCCCATTAGTTTGACCTTAAATTTGTGGCCATCAATTTCATTTATCAAGGTGGCCAGTCTGCAGCAGCGCTCAGAACTGCAGTCACTTTCCTAACCCTGACTTATAAGGTCCTGAAGGATGTAGTTAGGCCCTGCTTACAGTTCCATCCTGTCCTGCTTGCCAGTGACTACCCCTTAGGCCCAGCCACAGTATCCTTGTTTAGGAAGTAGAAAAGACCACTTACTTTCCTATCTTGGGTCCTTTGTACAAGCTATTATGTTTCTTCAGTAGAAAGATCCACTCCAGTTTTGTTTTATTTTCCTGTCAGCCTTTAAGTTTCCTTTGCAATTGCTTTTTTACTCATTACTATTTCTTCTATCTCACAGTAAGCCAAGTGAGGGCAGAACTATGATTGTATTATCCTTTACAGCATCCACAATGCTGACACATAGTAAATAAATAAGAAGGCAGGAAATAATCTTTGTTATAGAACGCATCAAAAAAATGTCAGCAGACCTCCCTGGTGGTGCAAGGGGTTGGGCACCGCACTATGAAGCGATCCGCAGCCTCTGCAGCACAAGTTCGATCCCTGGCATGCCAGGGTGCAGCCACATGGCACAGCAGACTTCTCCCATCTCACCCGCCTCCCGTCTCACACGCAGTGTATTTCAGTCAATCTGCCCGTTCTGTTCCCCACTCTGTCTCTGGTGGATCCTCTCACCCCCTGCATCTCTGGCCTGTACCCTAGCTGTTGTGTGCATAAATAAATAAATCTTTTAAAAAAATGTCAGACCCGAAAGAGATGTAATGAATTTCTAGGTAAGTTTCCCCCTCCCTTTCTTTTTCCTTTTTCTTTTTGCTGATCAAGGTATATGGGTGCAAAGGGTGTAAGGAATATGTCAATATGGTTATGTCAACATCATGGTTACTGGCTGATGTCCTGACTTCATGAAGCTGCAGTTCTAGTCATTCAAACCCTTGGCATACTCTCTTTCTAACTTTTCTAACTCATTTATGATTTTTTCTTCACAAATTTGTTTGCCTTCATCTGTGCTACATTTTCAGTATTAAAATATAATAAAGGTCGTTCAATTCGAGTAGAATTTCCACATCACCAGTACAATAAAAAGTGACTTGGATGAAAAATTCCTTTCTGCACAATTAGCTCAATTTATAATTATTGGTACTGTCTCATTCTCACCTCTAAAAAAATGACTAGCTAAGAAAAAGGGACTACAGTTATCTCAATTATGTTTCTAAATATCCTGCAAAATGTATAGGGTGAGTATTTTTCTTCTGTAATAGCTCATAAGCTTTGAAACAACAGGGGGAGAAGCAGAGTGAAGAAAATGGCCTTAGTGAAAGAAAAAAAAACAGAGATCAACACATCAAAGAAATAATAAAGGTGGAGAAAGTGTGTGGGGAGGTAGTTGGCGAACTGAAAAGGTTACAAACAGTGAAGATGTTAATAGGACCAAGATCTGGTCCGTCAAGAGGGTGCGATGAGAACAGGAGTCTGATTCTATTTCTCCCAATTTTTACCTATTAACCATGACCTGGAATATGTTTTTCCACCTAAAAAAAAAAAGATCTGCCTGAGGAGCAAAAACTGACACCAATCCTTCTCCAAGGGGTGGGGGAGATAATAAATGGAAATCTCTCGACAAAAATTCTCTTTATCTCTCTGCTCTATTTTAAGAGCAAGATTTTTAGGGCATAATTTTCAACAAGTTTTGGCTGAGGCTGAACACAGGGCTCAAGGATAATTTAGGGCACTCAAACACGAGGCAAATTACTTCCTTAACACATAATGGCCTAAACACACCACGGTCACATACATAAGCGGGTAATAAACAAAATGACCACTAGACATACTTACCTGTTCGCAAAGCAGCGCTAGGGCGATCTTCAACAAAAGGCGCCGCAAGAACCCAAAGTGCTCGGCGTCTCTCAAGGAGATTAAGGTAACCCGTCCTTCCTGCGCTTCAGGGCACAGCCTACCTGGGACGAAGTCGCTCCTGGCCTCCTTCCTCCTGGGCCCACCTCGGGACTTTGTCTAAGCTCGGGGCAGTCCGAGAAGAGTCGAGGGCGGAATCGGTGGTACCGACACCCTCTACCCTCCCCACCTCTAGGTGCCAGGAGATGGGGCGCCCCGCGAGCTCGTGGCGGACGTCCGCAGAGGGCGCGGAGCCGGGGAGGATGGATGCAGCGCGTGGCGCGGCTGCATCTCGACCCGCAACTCTGGCGCCGCTACCAGGTCTCGCCCTCCCTGACCCACTCACCTCCGCGCCCTCCGCGCCGGGCAGGGGCGAGCCTGGCAGCTCCGCGGGCGCCGCGCCGACTCCCCCGGGGCGCGTCCGGGCTCCTAGGCCTAGGGACTGCGCCTCCGACAGGCGGCTGCAGGGAGGCTGCCGCGGCGGTCGCGCTCCGGCTGCTTCCCCGCCTCCCGGAGCTGGAACGCGTAGGGCCGGGCGGAGGCGGAGGCGGGCGGGAGCGCGGGGGCCGGCCTCGCCGTGACGCGCCGCCGGGGGCAGCGCGCGGGGAGGGCGCCGGGCGCGCGGGGACGAGGGCGCGCGGCGGGGCGCCGGGGGCCGGGAGGAGGTCCGCGGGAGGCGGGGGGACAGCCGGGAGGGTGGGGGAGCGCCGAGGGCGTGAGCCCTGCAGCCCCAAGCACCCGCTCCGGGGCTCTGCAGTTTTGAGCGCCCCCTCGCCCCCCAGCAACTGGGGGCAACTGGGTATCCGGCCCGCTCCCGCGCGCCCCCTCCCAACCCCTGCGGGGCTCCCCCAGGATTCCTTCTGAAGCGGCTCTGGAAAAATGAAGCCCGCTTCTCTACTCCGCTGCTTGGGTGCAGTGCTGTCGCTTCTCCACTCCAGACTTTGCTTTTTATCACACCGCCCCTCCCCGCCCCTCTCGCCCACTCTCAGGTCCGAAGTCTCCGAGAAACTGCGCTGCTGCTTCGGTGCGCGCTGCTTCTCTCACCTCCAGCCGCCCACGTCCTCTGCCGGCGGGGCTGCGTCCTTGGAGGAAATGTTCGAAGTGCCCTTCGATAAGCTCCCCAACCCCTCCTTGGGGGGACCCCCACAGCCCGCCGTTTTCACGGTTGTTGCCTCTGACCTTCACTCTAGGTGGTGCTGCGGGAGCTTTGTTTTGGGAAGAAGAGGATGAGGCCCCGAGCTGGGCAGACCTGTGCCCTGGGGGAAACCGCTGAACTCCCAGGGCCGCAGAGGCCTTGAGTATTAAGGAGACTCGGAGCTGGAAGGGCACCCTTGACTCTAAGATTCTGTAAATGTTCTCCCAGAAGGTTACCAAGTAGTCGGGTATCCTTTACTTTTGTGTAAAAGAACCAAGAGATCTTTATGCTCAGATATAAAAATCAATTTACCGAAAATTCTCAAATCTGGGGGGAATTTTTCCTTGTGTTCATAAACTTCTATTTCAGCAAATGAAGTTTAAACATTGTCTCATTAATTATTAATTAATTAATTTATTTTTAACTAAAAAAATTATCTGGTAGTTTATTAACCAGGGAAAAAATCGAGAAGGGGGGGGCGTCTTACATCGATCATTGGACACTGCCCTTTCCCCTCCCCCACGTAGCCCAGACACGGATTAACCTTTGCAAACGCTGCTTTGGAAGTGCATCATTTGTTTGACTCGACATGTATCCCATCCCCCCACCGAATACTATTAAGGTTTAGACTTTAGGCATAAGCTAAGCTTTTAGTGATATGTCATGTTATGGGAGACATTGACAAGTGGTGAAAGAAAATCCATTATGGTAACTGGAAAAAATTAATTTTGATATCAGTTTTTATTATTTCGTGGTATACTACTGCTCTCTAATGATGAAATTAACATTTTCGTAGCACTTCATATTGGGGCAAGGGGAGGAAATCCATGAATATTAACCACTAATATAAAGTAGGTAGCTTAAAAAAAACAGCATTATATAAATTTCACAAAAAGTTACTAAAAGAATTTCCTAATTATTCTAAGATCATAAATTATTATAAAAGCAGGTAGATAATCCATGTATTTTTAAAGCCAAATATTTCAAAAAACTATCCAATATGATTCTGGCTATTCCCCCAGAAAAGAAATGTGTGAAATCACTTATTCTAAAAGAGAATCCGTGAGTCAATAAAAGTGCAATTTCCAGAAGTATTATCTGTTTTTCATACCTGAACTACAAAAGGAAGCAAATGTCTTTGATGGAAAATCTTGTGTCACCAAGTGTGTTCTAAAAAGATGTTGCTGTTGATGCAGCAACAAATGAATCCTTTCAACTCATTCCATGATAATAGTGGTTTTTACTATTGTTTTTCAGCTCGAGTCCAAAGTATAAAAACATTTCGCAAGATTTTCCAGGTCATGACGTGCTCTCTGAGAAATCTCTTTAGTTCCCTGAAGTAGTAATTGATTCCACTGAAGCACAGCAATAATTTATTAAATGGATCTCTAGTGGCCTCGAGGTGTTAACACAATTTTTTCTTTGAAATTATTATACAATTGAATAACTTTAACGTGGTAGTTCCCAAAGTGTGTAACTTTAAGCTTGAGTTCTTTCAGATGCTCCCTGTAGTAATTTATTCACCACAGAAATACTTATTGAGCTCCTCTGTATTCCCTGCCATACATAGAAACAATGATGAAAAACAGATGAATTTACCTGATAGAATTTATGGTTTGATGGGGAAGGTAAATTAGTAAACAAGTGCAAATAAGATTTATACAAATTTGTTTACACAAGTAGAATCAGTGTAAATCATGATGCAAATAAAAAAACACTGAGATAGATAATATTTTCATTTTAGAGATTCACAGTGCATATTAATGAAGTAAAGTCTCCCGGAATTTCTGCAGTTAAAACATTTACTAAATCTGTTCCTAACAAATTCCCAAGTTGTCTTAAGCACTGAAACTTCAGTTGTGAGTAATACTTATTAATACAATAAAATAATTTTTTGTGAAACACTGCTCTTTTGAAACCAAAGAACATTACCTCGCTTTGTCAATGTACATCCATACATTTTAATAGATTTGAATATATATGTAATCTGACATAGATTTTGTTTGAAGACAAAATGATATAAAATTATACATTCAATATTTTAATAGATTTATAAAAATAAATGTACTTTATAATTGGTCTGAAGACAAAATGACATAGAAACATTTACAAATCTCTTACAGTATATGGAGGCACAGCTGTACAAACAGGTATTTTATAGTTACCATTGCTTTATGAACATATTGCCATATATAAAAATTTTGCAAATGCATATAATTCTTAATCTCTGTGTAGTCCATAAGATTGGCATACAATAGTTGTCTTAATCCTAAGTTTTAGGAAAATGTGTTTTCTTTTTCTTTTACCACTATAACTAACACTGCTTTATTTGACCTCTTTGAAAGAATTGCTCTTTAAGGTAATAAGTGAAGGGAATATTTCTGATACCAGTTCTCTGTTGAACATTTAAAGCGTGTATTTTTTTTAAAAGATGATTTAAAAAATTTTCATTATAAGGGCCTCCCTGGTGGCGCAAGGGGTAAAGACGCAACCTATGAAGCAGCGTGAGTTCGATCCCCGGCTAGGGAGCAACCCACATGGCACAGCAGACTGCTTCGGTCTCTCTTGCCTGCTGCTCCCCTCAGCAGTGTATTTCAGTCAATCTGTATGTTCTGCTCCCCGCTCTGTCTCTGGTGAATCCTCTCATCCTCCCGCACCTCTGGCCTATACCCTAGCTCTTGTATAAATAAAAATAAAAATCTTAAAAAAATAAAATTTCAGTATAAGCAAATTTGATTCTGGATCTCATGATAACAACCTTGTATCTGAGCTATAAGTTGCAATTTCAGAGACTATTTTCTGTTTATTGTTAAAACAATGCCTAGCAATTTTACCCTATTTAATTTTAATGAGGAAAATAACTTTTATAGCTGAACAGTAAAAAGAAAATTCACCCAATTATAAAATGGTAAAATTATCTGAATACGTATTTCTTCAAAGAAAATATGTAAGTGGCTGATAAGAACAAGAGAACAACATAATTAGTCCTTTGAAAAATGCAAATCAAAAAACAACATGAGATATCCCTTGGCATCCACTAAGATGGCTACAATCAGAAAGTAGGTATTACAGCATTGGTAAGTGGAATAATTAGAATCCTCATACTTTATAGTGAAAATGTAAAATGGTGTGACTGCTTTGGAAAGTAGTTTGACAATTTTACTCCTAGCTATTGAAAACATGTGTCTACAGAAAACTTTGCACTTAAATGTTCACTGCACATTATACTTAACAACTCAAAAGTGGAAACAACTCAAATGTCTATCAACTGATGAATGTATAATGGCATACAACAGAATATTATTCAGATAGCGTTATTATAAAAAGGAATGGAGTACAATACAGACTACAACATGGATGAACTTGAAAAATTGTGTTAAATGAAAGATGTAAGACACAAAAGCTTATATAGCAGGTTTGTTTAACATTGTTGTCCTATAATGTTGATTAGTAAAAGAAAATTCCTGAAAGTTGTTGAACATTGAATGAAATGATATTATATGAGGCACTGCTTTCGGTGTATGCTAAAGTTGCAGTTACCAAAAACCTATTGATGATGTTTTTATTTTATATAATTCTTACATCATTTTTCATCTATTGATGATGTTTAAGTGAGAACTAACTGTATACTTTATGATTCTAGTAGACAAGATATCCAGAGTAGGCAGATCCATATGGAGTGATAATAAATTAGTAGTTGTTAATCTACTGAGGTAGCAAATGGGGAATGACCATTTTAGGGGTAAGGAGTTCCTTTTCTATATAAAACCATTCTAGAATTAGTGGTGATGGTTATATAACTTTGTGAATGTATTAAAATCACTGAATCACATACTTTAAGAGTGAATTTTATAGTATGTGAATTATATCTCAATAATAAAGTAAGTAGTAATCAGGAATTATCTCAAATATAAAATTTAATGAGTGAGCATATATAGTCTTAGCAGTCTCCTCAAGTAAAGACCAAACAAATCAATTTGTGCTCTACCAATGTATATTTAACCATTGACCAAAGGAAAACATAATGAAAGAAATGAACCACTGTCCAGCTCATTTTAACTTAGGTATGCTAACCCCAGAATATTTATATATAGTTACCGAGTGCCATACAGTTACTGAG